TGGTGACAAGGTTTATAAAACTCCACATAGTATATTTCCAAGGTGACAAGGTTGAAAAACTGGAGTTTTATAAACCTTGTGTATTTGGTACATCCTGTAGGGTGAAGTTTGACAAAGGTGAAGAAAGAAAACATGGATCCCTTGATTATATCCATGGTGACCTTTGGGGGGTCTGCAAGAAATCCTTCACACTCAGGTGCAAGATGTTTTTTATCCATAGTTGACAATTACTCACGAAAGTCGTGGGTATTCATTCAAAAAGCTAAGGATGAAACTTTTGAAAATTTCAAAAGTTGGAAGACTCTGGTTGAAAACCAAACTGGAAGGAAGGTCAAGAGGTTGAGGATTGACAATGGTCTTGAATTTTGCAATGAGGATTTCGACAACAATTATGTCGCGCCTGGTATTGCAAGGCACGGAACTACTGCAGGTACTCCCCAATAAAATTGTTTGGCTGAAAGGTTTAATCAAAACATTTTGGAAAGAGTGAGGTACATGTTAGTTAGTGCATGATTAAAGGTGTTTGGGGCATAAGCTATTGTGAATGCAACATACCTGATAAATAGGTGTCCTTCGATTACCTTGGAAATGAAGACACTTGAATAAGTCGGGTCAGGACATCCGCCTAATTTCGACAGACTTAGAGTATTTGGTTGTTTAGTTTATGCTCACACTAAGCAAGACAAGGTCGAACCTAGAGCTCTGAGATGTATGTTCCTTAGATGCCATGAAGGAGTCAAAGCTTATAGGTTGTGGTGCCTAGATCTAGGTCATAGGAGGTGTATCATAAGTCGGGATGTAGTTTTCAATTAAGCATAAATAACATTCAAGAAAACTGATGATGTTGGTCGAAATGCAGAGATCTCTGAAGAGGAGCTGAACAGGAAAAGATTCCTGTTGAGATGGGAGCATAGTGATATTGAATTGCATAATCCAGATGAAGTTGAAGAAGATACACAAGTTGCATATGAAAATGAGGAGAGTGAAAATGACTACTTGCTGGCAAGAGACATGTCAAGAACAATAATCAAGCCACCTCATAGACTTGGTTATGCATATCTCATAGTTTTTGCCTTAATTTTTGCAAGTGAGGTCCTTGATGAAGAACCTAGAGATTACAAGAAAATTATGAGGAGTCGAAACAAGATTGGATGGCTTAAAGCCATGGATGATGAGATGAAATATCTTCATGATAATAAAACTTGGGAGTTGGTCAAGAAATCTGCAGGGGTCACGTTAGTCAACTGTAAGTGGAATTTCAAGGTTAAGGAAGGAATCGAAGAAGTGATGTCGAAGAGATTTAAGGCAAGGTTTGTTGCTAGGGGGTTCAGTCAGAAAGAAGATATTGACTTCAATAATGTGTTATCACCTATTATAAATCATAGATCCATTAGAATATTGTTAGTCATGGTGGCAAAGTTTGACCTAGAACTTGAACAGATGGATGTGAAGACAGCCTTCCTGTATGGTGATCTAAATGAAACAATCATGATGAGGCAACCTGAAAGGTATGCAGAAAACGGAAAGGAAGATTATGTGTGTAAGTTGAATAGGTCATTATATGGCCTGAAACAATCTCCTTGACAATAGAATAAGAGATTTGAAAAGTTCATGACACACATAGGTTTCACTAGGAGCCAGTTTGACCACTGTGTTTACTTTAGATTTTGACCTGGAAATTCACTTGTTATTTTGTTGCTTTATATGGATGACATCCTCATAGAAAGCAACAATGTCGATGATGTTATGAAGCTGAAGGTTGAACTTGATAAAGAGTTCGACATGAAGGATTTGGGAGATGCCTCCAAGATTTTTGGGATTGACATCCGGAGAGTTAGAAAGCAGTTGAGACTATGATTATCTCAAGAGACATACCTGAAGAAGATGCTCGACAAGTTTGGTATGTCAAATTCAAAGCCTATTGTAACACCGACTAATCCTCAATTCAAGTTGAGTTTAACTCAAAGTCCTTGTACTGAAGTCAAAAGACCCTATATGAATAGCATTTCATATGCTAGTATAATATGTTCTTTAATGTATGATATGATTTATACGAAACCAAACATAGCGTACATAGTGAGTCTTGTAAGGAGGTATATGGTCAATCATGGGAAGGCGCACTAGCAAGCATTAAAGTGGATTTTAATGTACATAAATGGGTTTAAGCAGAGTTCTGATTTATGGTAGAGCGTGTGGTGATGATAGCAAATTCGAAATCGAAGGATTTATCGAATTCAGATATGTGTTCACTATGTTTGGCATAACAATCAGCTAGAAAGCAACACTTCAGAAGGTTGTTGCCTTGTCAACCATTGAAGTGGAGTATTATTGCCCTTACTAAAGTTGTGAAAGAATCATTGTGGCTTGAAGGTTTTGCTAAGGAGCTGAAACTTCAAGGTCGAGTTATCACTATTAAATGCGATAGTCAAAGTGTCATACATATGTTGAAGAAGTCAACCTATCATGAGTGAGTCAAGCACATCATGTAAGGTTGCATTTCTTCAGAGAGATAGTCGAGCGTAGAGAAATCCAAGTGTTGAAGGTTTCGACTGATGACAATGTTGCTGATATGATCACTAAGACATTGTCAAGTAGCAAGTTCTTCTACTCTATGGAGTTGATAAAGTTACATGATGAAAGCTAGTTTATTTTTTTGTTAGTATGGAGTGTGTTCCAAGGTAGAGATTTGTAGTATTTGGATCGAACTCTAGCCTCAATAAGATTAGCTTCATAGTTCAACAACAGTCGAAGATATGCATGTCGTAGTTGAAATCTATTCTTGCATACAGATGTATATGTTAGTTTGTTGTTTAAGTTAGCATGGTGAATTGGGTCAGTCTATTGGGCCAATTGTTTAGTATATTAGTTGAAAGCTGGAGTTTAATTTTCCTATAAATAGCAAATTAGTCACCACTTCTTTAGGAATCCTTGATAATCCTAATCAAATTAAAAAAGTGGTGTGGTTGATATTCAATTGTAAACATTATTCTCTAATGTGTAACTGAATCAAGAATAGTTTTTAACCATTTTGAATTTTTTTTTCTCTTCTCTTCTCTCTTTTCTTTTATTTTGTAGTTTTCTTGCTAATCAAAAAATCGATCATACTCTATTTTCTTAAACATCGTTTCACATTAGTATTAAATATACATTTTTATTTTATTTATAAGTTTTTCTCTTTTTCGAAATGAGTGTAATCTATTTTATTGAGTTGATATTCTTGAAATTGATAGTTTTTCTTTTGATAAACTTGAAGTAAAAATTGTTCTTTTTAATGATGTTGAAAAGAAAATATTAATATTCAGTTATGATTTAATAAATTATTGTCACTTTTACCGTATAATTTTTTAGGGTTATTCTGTAGATTTTAATTTTTTTAACAAATTACTTTTTAATTTTAATATTTTGTTGTCGATTGTACAACATAACAGTACGTTATCAGCCACAAATTTATTCAATCCTATCTTTAGTTTGCCCAAAGAAAAAGTTTATACACTTATGTGTGAGTTGTTCAAGTTTCATCTTTAGAGATTGGGTTTTACGCGACACTGATACAGCTAGGAATAAAAATGGACGTCTTTGAGAAGAAAATTTGATGTAATGAGTTGTGCATATGCTTGACTGCGTGAATGCAGCAAATCAAGGTCCAAGTTGAGCGTGTAAACTTCTATCACATCTTATCTCACAGACCAACCGATCATTTCCTACGTAATTTATTTAAGGTTAATATCTCTTTTTTTTCCCTTAATTTTAATCAATATTTCTCTAGTCTCAGAAAAAAATAATAATAAATAAATAAATAGTGATCTATTAACTTATACTCTGTTACATATTTTAGTCTTTTTTATTAATTTTTATTAAAATAAATATTAAAATTTGCTTTCTTGAATTTTTAATTGCTGAGTTCAACTCCAACCACCGCCCCTCTACATTTGAAACTCCAACCACTCTTTTCACATGTTTTAATAATAATTATAACTTGTTTTTTCTTTTTTTTCAATCATCACCTATCCATCCACGTTTTCTTTTTCAAAAATCTCATAAGAATTTTTTTTTCTCAATGAGAGAGATGCTGATAAAAAAATGAGATTTTTTTTTTAAATCGTTGGAGTTAGAAACATCAAAGAGTAATTTTAAAAAATCATTATTATTCATTGTTAGGTTAAAAAGGTGGAATTTTTAAATAAAAAATAGAATTTTGATGATTGATGTCAACCGATAAACAACGGAGGCAGCGATGGAAGAAAAAATTAAACAAAACCAACATCCTTGAATTCTAAAATCCGCTACTTTCCAAATATCAAACTTCGATCCAATAAAAACTCATGTTCAATTTTTGAAACAGAACAATCCCAAAAAATATAAATGAGATTTTTGGTAAAAAAATTTAAGTAAACGGAGAATGAAATTGTGCTTACCGAACAGTCAAAATAGCATTCATTAAAGTTGGGAGAAGAGAGAAGTTAACCAATAAACTATCTATTTAACTTTTGAACTATTATTCTCTTTAATTTAATCTATAAATTATATCAATTATAATAAAATAAGTTGTTTTTTTCTACTCATATAATAAGTTTGTTTTAAGTATGTAAAACCTGTCAATTTAATATCCGTGTTGTTAAGATGTTAAGATACTAGATTCACATATTTTTATTCAAAATATAAGCATTTTGCAAGATCAACAAGAAGCTTTTTGCCAAAATGATACATAAATTCCACACTACATACTAATATAATAAAACATTCAGAAATGACATGAAAATCAACTACATTGAACTTCAGAAATCACAAGGCAGAAAACAATTCTCCGCTTATTAACCAAAGACAGACTAAAAACAAGTGGTTTAGAACTTCTAGTGCAGTAAATCACCTCAAACACCGACCCCGATCCACGCATAAGTAACCTGCGAACAGCTAATAAACATTACCACAGATCTCTATTGATCTGCAATCTGAAGTCAACTCTTTTCCGGAAACATTAACTTGACCGCTACTGTCATGAATTAACTACTTCCTTCTTTGCCGTCAGCTGCACGAAGTGAGCCTAACTGCACTGGAGCTTGGGTTTGCACCACTTTTGATGACCCGTATCCTGATGTATCGATACCTTTAGCCGCTTCCTTCTCGAGCTGTTCCTTAATCCAGATGTAAGTAATCCTCAGTCCATCCTACAATACCAGAATTTAGATATTTCTGTAAGTATATGCAGAATCCTGTTGGTGTTTGTTCATTAAGATTAAACTATGAATTTTATCTAAGTAGACAACCTAAACATTTCATTACTCTTTCTCGGAGAAAATAAACAAGCCAAATTGGATAAAATGTTAGTAAGACACAAGACACAAGAAAGAAGAAAGAAGCCATTTTATACCTTCAACTTCATTGTTGGAGCCCAGCCAAGTTTCTCTTTGATAAGTGTATTGTCTGAGTTTCGGCCACGAACACCCTCTGGGCCTGGAATGTGATGTATAGGAGTTTTCTTGTCATCAAAACCAAGAACGATCTCAGCCATCTCATTCATGCTGACCATTTCATCACTTCCAATGTTTACCGGCTCACGGAAGTCGGATTTAGTCAGTCTAAACACAACAATAGACCAAAAGTTTACTTTAAGGACTCTGTTTACATCAATCATAAGCTCAAAATTCTAATTCAAACTTAGAAAACCAAACAAAAGCACATGAATAAAGCTGGAAAAGCCACACAATCAGCAAAAACCTACCGAAGTACACCTTCAACACACTCATCAATGAATGTGAACGATCGTGTTTGCAAACCATCTCCCCACATCTCAAATTTGTCAGTAGATGTGATCGCTTTCCGACAAAATGCAGCAGGAGCCTTCTCCCTTCCACCTGTATGACAAAGCAACAAACTTATTAAATCCAAAAACACGCCAAAGTTAAAAACGCCTACCAATTTACTCATTTGGAAATAAGGAAACAACCCAAATTTGCAAATCAGTTAATGTCATACCTTTCCATGTACCAAAAGGACCATATATGTTATGGAACCTTCCAATGCGGCACTCAATTCCAAAATCTTTGTTATAGTGCTTGCATATCTCCTCGGTTGCAAGCTTCTCAAGCCCATACGCATCTTGTGGCTAAACACATTCACAAACAGAACACATCAGTCCCAATCTCCATCTAAAAAGAAAGAACCAACATTCATCAAACAACCAAAAAGGATTCCCAACAAACCTCAGCAGGCCATGCATCAGACTCCTTCAAGCTCACATTAGTAGTTTCCAACTGTTTAAATTCAGGGTAGATACAAGCACTGGAGGCATAAAAAAACCTGAGGAAAAAAAAAACAGTTTTTCGCAATTGGCATGAATAACCAAACAAACACAACATCACAAATTTTCCTTCGGTTACAGATCCAAAAACACAACATACAAGATAATAACTAACCTCTTAATGCCGTTAATCCTAGCAGCTTCAATCATGTTAAAACTAATCATAGTATTGTTATACATAATAACCGAATGATTCGACTGAATAAAACCCATCCCACCCATATCCGCAGCAAGATTAAAAACATGGTCAACCCCTTTGGTAACCGTAAGACAGTTATCCATAACCCTAAGATCAACAAGATGGAACTCATCACAGAACATATCCTCAGTCATGTGCTCATTTTTCTTCCAATCAGAAGCAATAATGTAATGCCCCTCGGTCTTGAGGCGCCGCGCTAAATGCGACGCAATAAAACCCCCAGCACCAGTGATGGAAATTTTCAGCTTCTCTGATGGCCAATAAGGCTCTCTCTCAAGATTCTCATAGGTGTATTCTCCATAGTTAGTTTTTCCAGTACTTCCCATTCTACATAAACAACATGAATTAAGATCATAACAACCAAAAAACATTAAATTGTTTTAATCTTAATTAAATTCAAAACACAAGTAATTATGCTTCATAAACAAATCAAATACAATAAAATGCAAGCACATGAGGGATACTAGAATGTAATTAAATAATCAAATCAATTAATTCACTATAATTGATAAAAATTAAAAATATAAAAGAATATTAAAAAAAGTATAAAAAATAAAAAACATAAAGCATCCAATTATTCTAAACTACACTACAAAACATTTAGTAAAATTATTATAAATAATTGCAATAATAATTGGTGAGAGTAAAACAAATCGAAAGCAGAAGATTCACGGTAAAGGCGTTTAACATGAGATTTAAGAAGAGAAGCGCTAAATAATTGAAAGGTTAAACCCTAAAGTGAAGTATAATTGATAATTAAGTAACTAATTAGAGAAAAAATGTGTGTAATTGAGTATGAACGGTGGAAATTATTAACAAAAATGAAATTGAGGAAGTAACCTGAGGAGAGGAAAATGAAAGAGAAGAGATAGAGATAATGTATGGAGAGAGAGAGAATGGTGTGAGAAGACAATGGTGGGAAATGATATGTTTATATAGTGAGAAGTGAGGGCCACTCGTTCATTATTTTGCTTGCAGTGTAAATGGGGGCTATCATGTTATCTATTTATTTATCTAGAAAAGATTCAGTATATCAAACTAATAATTTTACTTCAATTCAGTTTAAATAAATTAAAATAGTTTCATTCACTTCAAATCACTTTTTATTAAAACTTGGTTCAGTTATCGAGGATTATTTTAACTTTATCTCGATTTGGTTTAATGGTTGTTTTTTCTTAATTTTTTTTTCTCGTATTTTCACTCTGTAGTTTATTTTGACAAATAACTTTTAAAATATTTATAATTGTTTTTTAATTTGTCAAAATGTTTTAAATTGATTCTTTTTTTTAATTAATGAAGAATATAGCAATTGATTTTTAAATTTTTTCGTCGTTAATAAAATAAAAAAACTGATATAAAATATTTTAAAGAGTTAAAAAATTAATATAAATATTTTTAAAATTAAAAAACTAAAATAAAATCTAACATTAAAATACAGCAAAAAAGTATTTTGCCATGTGTTTTTAACAATTTTCATTTTTCATACTTGTATCAACAAACTTCTTATTTTAATTATTATGGAATAAAATATGGGAGTATAAAGTCAACTTTTTATACTATCCCAAGTCAAAAAAACACTACAAATAAGATAGACATATAATAATATTTTTATTAAACTATTTTTCTTGACACGGTGGTGCAAAATTATTATTTGTATAGTATAATTTTAAAAATATTAATTAATACTATATTAAAAATTGAAATATTAGTTTATTTTAGAAAAAAAATTGGTCAAAAAAATTATTTAAATTACTGAGTACTTTTTTTGTTAATAAACCAAATTGTATAAATTAAATATTTCTATAAATATTATTATGTTATTAAATCAGATGTATTTGTATGTAGAATATGCTCATATATATAGTTTGTGTCTAGGAATTTATTTGGAATATAGTTGATTTCTACTTTACAATCTACGTTCATAAGATTTATTTATTATTATGGAAGACATGAATAGTCAATATAACTTTAAATTATATTCACCACATTTCAGAAAATAAATAATAACAAATAGGAAGTTAAAATTAAAATGTTTAAAACTAAATGAATATGTTAATAAATGAAGAATGATAACATAAATGTAGGCTCCCTTGATAAATAATATTTTCGAGCTTATAATTTAAAATTCATGATAATTTAAACCTGTTTGGTAACAGTTTTTTTATAATAAACTTATAATTTATTTTATTAGTTTATAACATGTTTTTTAGACATTATTTTAAATAGTATTTTAATTTATAGTTTGTTTGTTATTTTTTATTTTTTTATCTTTATTATTTTAACAAAAACTCACTTTTATCCTTTATAATTTATTTTAATTTTAAGAAAATAAATATGTATTAAATATCTTTTATGTCATTTTTCGTTTATAAGTTAGTTAAACCGTTAATTTAACCAAATACTTTAATATAATTTATCAACTATCAGTCACCAACGATCAGTTATAAATTATCAGTCATCAGTCATCAGCTATAAGTTAACTTATCAGTTAACCGCTATTTTTACCAAACAAATTTGTAAACAAAATTTGAATTGATATGAGCTAGTTTAGTTAAAATAAGAGGAAAGTAGTAGTTTAGAATTTAATTCTTGACAATAATATTTATTTATTAATGTAAATAAGTTGTTAATATTTATATATTGATAATTTTAATAAAAATAAAATATACATATTCAAATTATAAAAAATAAATTATCATAAGCTAAGTACCATGCAAAAATATAAAAAAAATAAGAAAATAAAATTGATGGTATGAAATCAAATAAAATATTTAAAATACAAATAAAAAAAGTAAAAAATAAAAAATAGCTTTGCAGATGGTTCTTTTATATATATATATATATATATATATATATATATATATATATATATATATATATATATATATATATATATATATATATATATATATATATATATATATATATATATATATATATATATATATATATATATATATATATATATATATATATATATATATATATATATATATATATATATATATATATATATATATATATATATATATAATGAAGATATTAAATGATTTATGATAGTGCGCTAACCTTACAAAATTATGTTTTTTAACCACCAACTTGGGAAAGATAAACACATGAAGGTGAGAAAATACTTAGAAGGGGAGGTTGAATAAGTATAGAGAAATTATTATGGCAATAAAAACTCAAAGATTTTTATCCTGGTTCGTTGAACTCAACTACTCCAGTCCACCCTATCAAGAGTGATTTGCCTTTCTTAACAAGGATTTAATCCACTATTAATCAAACTGATTACAATAGCAAGCACTAAGAACAACTGTTCTTAGCCTTCTTAAGAACAACTGATCACAATTGGATCTTCTTAAGGACTTTTACAATCAATATGTAAAACTAAACAAGTGTTTAAATGCTTTTAAGTAAGCTATATCACAACTGTGATTTTGCACTTACGTTTAAGAACAATGAAATAAATTCAGCAATGAGAATAAGTTGTATGAGAGCTTTCTTTGAATTCTTTCAATATTTCGTCAACTGAAGAAGAGTGATGGAGTCTTGCTTTTATAGGCACAGAGGTCCAAGTAGTTTTTACATTGAAGACTGTGTACTGAAAAGGGCTGAGCCTTTTTGTCTTCACATCACATGACCTTTCCTAGAAGTAGAATGCACAGATAAATCCTTTTTGTATGTGTTCTTGTGTCTAGCATAAATAAGGAAAGAGTCGTTTGGCCAAACCAACGGATATAACCTTGAATTCTTCTTCAACAAGTTTCAGCAAATAACATCAGAGCCTTGAGTGATCAGAGTCTTCTAATGTTCATCAGAGTTTGCTGAATCAGAGCAATGCAGCAAATGTGCTTTCAGTGTGTAATATTTCAGAGCAGAGTTTGGGATCAGATCCTCAGTACTGGCAGCGTAGTACCATCAAAGTCTTCTGAAATAAACTAAGCTTGAAACTCTTCATACAGAAATCTTCAATGCTTCAGATGCTTCTGTAGCTTCTGCTTCAGATGCTTTTGTAGCTTCTGCTTCAGAATCTTCTGTAGACAGCGCTCAAAATCTTTTGTAGGCAGCGTTCAGATCCTTCTGTAGGCAGCGTTCAGATTCTTCTAGGAGATACTTCTGATGCTTCAGAGCCTTGCATAATTCCATGTTCAGATCTAATTTGCTTTCAGAATAATATTCACTTTAATATCTGCAGCAAACAACTTAAACAAATTTTAGAGTATATAATTATTTAATACAAAATTTCATAAGAGTTATCATCAAAACATAGAGATATAATTAAGAACCAATTTGTGTTCTAACAACACATGGAGTTATCCAGTAAGAAGGCCCACTATGAAAGACCTAATATGATTAGGTACAATATCATAGAAAATATTATTAACTTTTAGATAGTAATCTATATAAGAATGGAATACATGCACTTTCTCATGTAGCGCGATCAGTCTTCAAATTTGTCTTAATAAATTATGAGCATCGATACTAGAGCTTTCACAACCTCCACTTTTCTAAACCCTAATCTCTGAGTGCACTTAAACCCTTCAAAAACTCTACAATGTTCAACAACAAGCACATTACATCTCCCAAGATTTTTGGTAAAACCACTTATCTATTCTCCTTTAGAATCTTGTATAACACCACCACAACCTGCACCATGCATATCATTATAAGCTTCATCAGTGTTTAGTTTAACCCAGTTGTTTTAAGGAGGTTTCTAGTCAATCAACTTCATCTATTTATCCACCTTAGAAACAAAACCATTTTGAAACTTAATGCTCTCATATCTCTTAACCAAATTTAACATATGTTGACTTGTGTCGAAAGGACGACTAAAATCTTTGTCGTGCTCTTCTTTATTCTTCCACGTTCATAAACAATGGCACGCCACAAACCCAATACTTTCTCCAATCCTTAGTCTCATCACCTTTAGATCCAAGATTCAAGTTTACCTTATCTGTTAACTCCACCTACAAGAAATCATTAAAAATGTTGCTTGGAACCTTATTTGCCCAAGCTTGCATGGCATTTAGACAATCTCTAAAAGCATGCATAGTAGTTTCCACACACCTCATACATAACTTGCACACGGCTTAGCTTATTTCCATTCTACCTTGTTATGGGAATTCCATTTTTGGGCAATTAGTATGGGGTGATGATCTGAAAAATCCACTCTAGATAGCAATTTCAGGAAGCCTTCCAAAAACTCTTATCTCCAAGCATCATTACTTAACGCTCTATCTAGTTTTTACATATGTGTTGCCCTCTGTGACAGATAAGTCCCTACAAGTAAATTTTGGTTTTATTGTGTCAAGGTCCATTAATT